GTATATTGGGTCAGCGAGACGAACTACCTGTAGCCCGCCATCCACGATGAGCAAGCTATTCGTGCACGCCATCATCCGACTTTTTCCACGAGAACATATTTTGATTGGAGCAGGAGCGCATTGCGTAGTCGAATTTTGAGTCGACAAGAATGTAACAAAAACCGATAAGGAGAGGGGGCCGGACAGAGACACAGACGCCCAGGAACCATTTTTAGTTGACACAGGAAGTCCAATAAGTTTAGTGTGTAAAGAAGTTTACAGAGAAGCGCAACTGTAACAGAAGAAAAAGAGAAGGACCAAACATGGAATGAAGATAAACTAATTTTTTCTCCAACCACCTGAATAAGACGCTATTTTGTGACAGTGTTCGGTACGTAAAATTGACGTTTTGCGGATTAATCGCTTTCACCATGGCAACTGTACAAAAAGTGGATACTTTTGGTCCTAGTACCAAAAAGAAATTGACCTTGAAAATTGGCCAATTAAAAAATTACAATCACGGAGATATGTCACATTGACATCGTTTTACATTGCAAGTTGTAAGATATTTCTATACATACAAATCAAATATTTTTGCATATTCAATGCAAATAATGATGTTACCCTATACGTCGTATGTACATGTATTGAAAATGATTTACGCTCCCTATTTTTATTTAAACAATGTGTAACGTAATTTACATATTTGATGAACGTAATTTTAATACGTATACAACCCGCCGTCGCGCGTAACGCCATCTACTTCAAACCCATTGCACTATTATCTGTCATTTTGAATTCAAAATTTGAAAAAGTTAATTGCAATTAATTTTAATTAAAAAACTGTATGGTAAGTTTTTTATTTCAATACAAAATATAACAATATTAATTGTGTTTACAATAGAAATGACTGAAACTGATAGCGACATGGGTTGCACTCCGCCAGAGATTTTAGAAACGGCAGAACATGCTACCTCAAGATTTGCTCCCTACAAAGTCGCGAGAGGTGAGAAGTAAGCAGTAAGAACGAATAGGTTATAAGTTAACCTAAAAACTAGAGTGGCATGACACGTGAGGACAAGAAAGCAGAAGTTTTTATACTAGTAGTGAAACTGTGACTGAATCTAAATTCGAATATAATTTGAAGTAAAGGGGGTTGGAGAAAAAATTTTATGTTTTATTCGTACAAAAAATGCGTTTTCGGGACTCGGAAGGTTGCTGGACTCCGCTAACGCGTCGTCCAGCAACTATCTTCCTCGTCCCGAAAACTGACATTTTTTGTACTAATGAAACAAATAACTATATGATGACATTACCTTTACGGTTAGGCAACACATCATACATCAGAATCAACGGCAGATGGGATAAATACATACCATGGATAAATACGATAGGTACATAACCATTGAATAATACATCTGATATTATTCAATGGTACAACCGATGTGCTCAGCTGTCGGGCCAGAGGGGATTTTCACAAGGAGGCTTCGCGGAAAAGTAGCGTACGTAGTCATGAAAATTTTGTGAGCCCATGAGTTCTTGGTTTCTCAATGCTTATTTTGTTTGTTCTGATTTAAAAGCTGCAATTGCAGGTATAGGAATCGTTTTTTTTTCAGAAGGAAACCTGATCATGGCAACGTGATGGAAACAATACTTTGAGCACCTTCTCAACGGGAACGGATAACAAAGTTTAAATGAAGAACGAAGCATTACAGTATAGGAAAATGATAACATCCAAATAGATGAGGCAGTAACAAACTTGAAAAAAGGAAAGGCTGAAGTACATGACGGAATAGTATATCGTGGATGCTAAATCACCTAGGAGAAGCAGGGAAGATGGTGTTAAAAAAATTGTTTAATAAAGTCTGGAACAGCGGGAAAATTCCAGAGATGACTTGAACTAGGAATAATCATTCCAGTTCTTAAAAAAAGGATCCCAAAATATGTGATAATTACAGGGGGATTACTTTTTAGCGATAATTTTTGAAAGAATTTCCCTTATGTGACGGTTTTGTCCGCCCGTCCGTCTGTTCCTCGTCTAACTCGAGATCGAAAAGAGGCATCAGGGATGTCAAATCTTCGTCATTCGATTTCAACGAGTTTAAGGATCAATGCTATTGAATATGAGCCGGATTAAAAGTCTTGTTTCCGAAATGCGAGCCGAGTGCGAAAAAATCCACCTACTGATGACAATCGTATGCGATTCTTCGTATTTTGTTATTGAGTATTGTTTTAAAAGTACATACCTATATATGAAAAAATATTATAGAGGGCAGGTTGAGGAATGTGGTAGATATTATCATAATATAACACTACTATGATATTATGAAGTACGCAGGGTTACATATTTACCATAAAGCACCTACCAAGGGAACAAAATTATATACCTATGGCATCCCCTAGTAAGGACATTTGATATGGTCGTACAAAAAAAACCGTATGGGAAAGAAAGCCTCAAAACAGCAACAGCATCAGCAATACATTCATACCTAAGGAATGAACGAAGTTAGCAGGAAAACAAGAATGACAATGTTTATAAGATAATTAGTAACAAATGATTACCAAACGCAACAAAGAGCAAGTTACATAAGTTAACGACACTTACTCGCTATTTCACGCGTCATTATCTTACAATGGCACCAGTTTAATTTTGATTGCAAGGTCGCATTCCATATTAGAATGTCCATAACTTCCTCGTAGTCTGTTTAATTCAATAAAATTAAATTTTGAGTACCTATGGAAAAGATCACATTCGCGCCTCCGAAGAAACCAAAACGATTCGAATACTGTCCATATTGTTACATAGGAAACTGTACCACCCTTCGTCATGACTGCTGCAGTTCGAGTATCAATATAAGAAAATTGCTATCAAATGAAAGAGATTTGTGTTTTTCCACCGCAAACGGGATTTATCATATTCGTAAAATCATCCCTGATGGTTTAGTTAAGTCTTTTTCTTTCTTTTTTTGCCTTTATTTTTGAGTGGGCGGGGTTTCAGCCAAGGCTGCTCTACCAACCCAACCCACTATACATTTACAAATATCCATGCCCGAACCCGGATTCGAACCAGGGACTCCTAGCATCACAGTTCAGATTTAGCTGAACTGCACCACACGGGCCGCCACTGTCTCTCAGATATTTAATCTTTAGGAAAGGACCTTCGCGCTTCCCCAGCCGAGTCGACCATCAGACCCTACGCCACGATTACCCGGCGAATTTCTGCTTTGTCCAACTGGTCCACAGCGCCAAGAGGATGCCGAAAGCTACGTCGTTCGCCTGCGGCAACGTATGAGTCATCTACTTCGTGTTCCTGCATCTCGTCATACCAACCCAAAAACGTGACTCGGTCAACTCACCACTGACCGACTCGCCAATAGATAACGAAATCTTTTTTTCCTGTTTAATGTGCCGTTACAAGTGCATTAATTGTTATAGACCGAGAGATAACGACAGAGTTTGTTTGATGATTAGTAAACGTCTGCTTCATAATTTTTCAAGACCAGGCGACGGGTTCACACGTATTTTTACGTGACGACACTGTTTAGGCGGCCTCTTATCACGACAAAGACATCCGTGTGAATGCATCGATCGAATAAAGCTGCATACCTCCTCAATGTCGACTCTCCTAATCCCGCCCAGTCCTCAGCTTCCTCCGTCTGCCCTCGTTACAGCCGGTTTCCCCAACTAACGAGGACAAACGACTTTCTTATGTGACTCGTTCCAGCCTTTCTTTCCGCTTCCGTCAGCCCTGGGCTCCGGTTTCCGTTGGGGGGCTGCTGTGGCGGTAGCGAAGTGGTTGTGTGAAACTATACGCAACAGTAGAGTAACAACAATTTTGGTAACCATGAAATTTACCTTTTATTAAACGGGAGTTCGGGCGATCTCCCCCACGAAAAATATAACCACTAAAAACGTTATTATATGCATTTATCACACACACCTAGTTATCCCATAACACTTTGTCAATGGCGTTCCCTCCATGACTTGACAACACTGTGGCACACAGCTAATTGCATATCTTGAAAACAATCACATGTAAAACACACGAGTTCCCAATAACCGTTTATTATTCACAATAATTAATACGCATAATACTCTGAAAGTAAAAATTAACAGAACAGAGATGCGAGGAGTGCCACCGCAAGTCGGATACTGCCGATCACCGCACCGTCCGAGTGCCCGTCGAGATTCCCCTGCTCTCCCTAAATCGCGCAGCGCTTACACACATGACAATTTTTTTTAAACTCGAGCACAACAATCTTGGCCTTTGGAAACCCCTCCCGTGCATCCATCCCTGCATACATAACCATGTCCAGAAAGCCGTGATCGCAACAGCCACTGAGTTCGACCTAAGCAGCTAAAAATTGGATGGTTCATTGGACCAAATCAGGGATGATTTCCAAAGAAACTGAAAGATCAAAATGTTTCGTTTGGGAAGTAATTATTTGTTTATAGACCATGCTGAGGCATATTACGTAGGTAGTACGCATCAATTCATCGAATATGAAAATAGGAGCTGATGGCAATAAGGGCTTTGTCTACGTTTTTGGGCATTATTTGTTTGTAATTCAGGATATAAATAATAAAAACAAGAAAGAAAATGTTCTAAGGCTAGGTCAGGTCCATCGGTTACAGAACTCTAGGGAGAGGGACATTAGCAAATGCATGTTGTATCCTTGGAGAAATGTTTGCTGACATGCTGACTTGCTATAGTACCTCATTATATAGCTGAACTGTGGTACTGATATTTTCCTCATATCTAAGTTCGAGGAGGACAATTTGAAACAGTGCGATACACATAGGGAACATTGAAATGCCAGGACCATGGGACTATATTCCTCAAAACCTTCCGTCATGACAGTAATATTACAATGCATAACTAATTGTAACACTATTTCATTAATAATACATGAATAAACACACTACTATTCAACTTGTAAAAATATAGTGTTAAGCATATACAGGGTGAGAAAAATTTGGTGATCACCAAAATATATTTAAACGAACTGAAATAAATAACATAATATGTGTAAAATGTATTAACATTACAAGGACAACAAAACAGAATATGTATAACAGGTTAATTTATCAATTAATGTACATAACTATATTTAATGTCAATCGTTAGTATTTGACACAGTAAGAAAACACAATGCCTTTAAAATTTGTAATACGGGTTCGTGATATAATTCATTTTGACACCAATGTTCTAATCGCCGTCCCAAATCGTAAACGCCAGGAAACGACACGGCAACGTGTAGTATAACAACTTCGGAACTCTTCGGAGCAATAGTTTTAACGGTTCCACTAAAACCGACCCATCGGAATTCTTTAGAAGGGAATTGATGGAATACATTAGGTCTAACTGACTGGGGCGGTGACTCACTGGAACCACAAACACTGTAGTACTCAATATAAGTTTTGCTACAACTCACCTGGTTACACCTGATGTGTTGATAGTAACTAAAGACGTCAAATGTGAGTCATTGTGTAAGGAAATTTGAACTGGAACAATACATATTTGACTACTATCGAAATTATGAGAAACGTGCGTGGTATTAAAAATGCACATCGACACCTGAGCTTTCAACTCCTCAGACGGTTCACTCTCGCCCCCCAACAGCTGAGAATCCCCCGAAGACTTTATCGGATCATAAAGAATAACCACTCCACTATCACCTTGATCACTTTCCTCTTCCACCTGTAGTTTTTCAATCTCTATAGAACTCTGCCCGTTTACTTTTTGCCGGCTTCCTGTATGATCCGTAAAATTTGCAGTCCATTCGAAGAACAGTATACCCTCCTTCTCCTTGGGTTTAGTAATTTGCTCTTCATCCTCAAAGGCATTTATTCTAACCTGATCGGTACGTTCCGCAAAATCTAAGTAAGCCATATTCGATTTCCCTTCCGTATTACTCAACACTACTTCGTGATAAGTTCTCACTGGTGTCATGTGACGACGAGCTCTTAATATAGCGTACGCTGCTTGTTGTGATTGAATATTTATAAAATAATTGCTATTCCCTACGAACTCTAATCCCCAAAGTGAGCTTAAAAATGCGGCCTTAGTGATCATAATATCCACGCATACATTATAATGAAATTTATTCATATTGATCAACTTCGCAGCGAAAAGTAGCTCTTTAAACTTCTCAGACTTGCAACCTTCGGTTAACATGAGATCTATCGCAAGACATTCGTGTACCACTAAATTCCATTCGTGCCTAATTAACCTATACTTCGGATTACACATACGATCACAGTTTTCATAATATAGTAATAAATCTACGGGAACGGAGCCCTTCGCGCTCGGCGCTTTTAGCCATATATTAATCGATAACGAACGGCCCGCCTCCAATTGACCGTTGGGCAAGGATATCTGAGTCACGTGATTTTTTCTAGCCTCTCGTTCTCTTACTGCCGGCGTTTCCGAATCCTCAAGCTCTCTGTAATCGTTAGTTTTGATATTTTCAAACTCGCACATTGATAGAAGAGTCGGCGTCGATGTACCCATGAGAAGCTTGTGAATCGGTTCACTACCAATGTTTCTGATTTCAATCGACACTCGATGGATTTGATCACATAACATTTGTGTATTAATTTCGCTAAACGTAACCTGGAATAGTATAAAAAGGATTAATTAATTTTTTTTGCAATTTCTTCATTGTTAAAGGTTCAAATTCCACAAATATGCAAGCATGTAAGCAACAACTATCACCAGTATTACCACCATAAATAAAGAACAAAATTTATTTGGAGAGAATGTGTCGGTACACATAGTAAATAGTGGAAATAGTTCTATATTAAAATTCTTATCAATAGTGACTATAAGTTAGTAGTAGAAGGAGCTTTTAATTACAAGAATGGCGTTTCCTTAAATACTGGAAACAACGAAAAAACGAGGCTGCTGCTAGTTTCGCGACGGTTGAATAGCGTTTCCACTTGTTTACGCGATTTTTCTTACGGGCAGTCAGCCTCTTTATGTAAAAACGTAATTCGTCGGTATAAAAATAAAGGCTGCAGAAGCAAGTGAAGCAAAGTGGTATAAGAAGTATAACGCGTATTGTTCGATTTCGAAAAAAGTTTTGTCGAGTTGAAAAAGCACGCAGTTACAGTGCACAGTAAGGTATTTTGTTAACGTTCTTTTCTTATTAAAAGCTAAAAGTTTCTATCGTCTGAACAGCTGCCGAAAATTTGTCATCTTATTCATCAAGCCAGTTTTGTTTGTCAAGTTCAGTGTTAACAAGAACAAGTTCAGAAACTGTCACCGTCTAAAGTCAAGCAACGTTGCTCCCGGTTAGTATTTGAATGGGCAACACGATTTTTGGCTCATGCATTTTATTTGCTTTCATTAGAGGAACCTACCATCAAAATTTCATTCAAATTGTTCTATAAATAAGGAAGTTGAGTTTTGCGCATGCGCAACGCGATTTGTTGCGCATGCATATCATTTGCTTTTATTATTTATTTATTTATTTATTTAACCAGAAACCATACAGAATAAAAATTCCAATTACATGGCACGGGGGCTCTGAACAAATATTAGGACTTAAGATCTAATTTTATTTATTATTGAATTTAGGGGATCGTGAAAAAAGTCGATATCATTAACTGAGGACAACTTATTTAAAGTGATCAAGATCTTAATAAGTGGGGAAGTTGTGTTGTTAACTACAAAAATAGTATTATTTTGCCTTAGCTTAACAAATTAGAGGAATCTACCATCAAAATTTCGTTCAAATTGCTCTATAAATAAGAAAATTGAGTTTTGCGCATGCGCAACGCGTTTTTTGCGCATGCATTTTATTTACTATGTTTTTTTCGTTTAAATTTCTCCATAAGTAAGAAAGTTGAGTTTTGCGCATGCGCAACACGATTTTTTTTACATTAATTTTATTTGCTTTCATTAGAAGGACCTACCATCAAAATTTCATTCAAATTGTTCTATAAATAAGAAAGTTGAGTTTTGCGCATGCGCAACGCGATTTGTTGCGCATGGAGATCATTTGCTTTTATTAGAGGAATCTACCATCAAAATTTCGTTCAAATTGCTCTATAAATAAGAAAATTGAGTTTTGCGCATGCGCAACGTTTTTTTTTTTGCGCATGCATTTTATTTACTATGTTTTTTTCGTTTAAATTGCTCCATAAGTAAGAAAGTTGAGTTTTGCGCATGCGCAACACGATTTTTTGCACATTAATTTTATTTGCTTTCATTAGAGGGACCTACCATCAAAATTTCGTTCAAATTGCTTCATAAATAAGAAAGTTGCGTTTTGCGCATGCGCAACGCGATTTGTTGCGCATGCATTTTATTTGATTTTATTAGAGGAATCTACCATCGAAATTTCGTTCAAATTGCTCTATAAATAAGAAAATTGAGTTTTGCGCATGCGCAACGCGTTTTTTTGCTCATGCATTTTATTTACTATGTTTTTTCGTTTAAATTGCTCCATAAGTAAGAAAGTTGAGTTTTGCGCATGCGCAACACGATTTTTTGCACACTAATTTTATTTGCTTTCATTAGAGGGACCTACCATCAAAATTTCGTTCAAATTGCTTCATAAATAAGAAAGTTGCGTTTTGCGCATGTATATCATTTGCTTTTATTAGAGGAGTCTACCATAAAAATTTCGTTCAAATTGATCTATAAATAAGAAAATTGAGTTTTGCGCATGCGCAATGCGTTTTTTTGCGTATGCATTTTATTTACTATTGTTAGAGGGACCTACCATCAAAATTTCGTTTAAATTGCTCCATAAGTACGTACATACAGATGGGAAAAAATGTTATTCTTTAAAAGTTGTTTAAAATGACCTAAAACGTCGACATTTGATGAAATTTTGACATGTCCAAAAAGCGGCTATAGTTACCTTGTTCACGTTAGGAAGTTAAAAAACTAAGTAATTTTAAGATTTTTTATTTTAATTGCGAATAAAATATGTATCATCATCTTTTAACAACGTGCGTATTTCAATTGTCACACATCCATATCACTCTAGAAATTTTTCCCCCCAAGATATTTCTAAGAGGTCCAAGCACTCAATCAACAAAGCTACTGACCAAAGATGAAGATGAAATGCTCTTTCATGCCAAGTAACAAACCACATTAGCATCTCTTCGTCAATCATACTGGCTAATTAACGGTAAAAGCATTGTTTACCAAATTCTACATGTAATGGGCGGTCGAGTTACCATTGGGATTTGAAGTCGTATTTTGTTAAACCTAGGGAAATTACCGCATGTACCGCTCCATAGTACACTTAAACTAAAGTAAGTCTGGCAATAACAAGAAACGTATTGGGGAAAGGAAGCGCGGTTGCCACAACGATCTAAACGTTGCGTTAATTCCATTTGAGCCAGCTGAAAAACCCGGGTTTTCTATTGGTTGTTAAAGCACGCCAGTCGAGGTCATTGTGTTCAGAATAGAGAGTCCGTTTGGGTTCTTCTAACGGGCGAGATTCAAATACCAAAAGAAGTGGGAGAGCTCAATAAATATATTATTATTATTATTATTATTTATTCTTAGCTTATTTCAAGTAAAAACGAACGGATTTCATTTGTGGATTGTGTGAAATGATTGATTTAGCACTTTAACTTGGGGTAAAAATATTCTAAGTAGCGAGAACTTCTAAATTTCGTGTGTGTTGTGGAGACCTTTAAGCAAATTCGGAATTGTGTGGCTGTTTATTTATGAGTGGTAAAATATACGAGAAGGAACATTTTCGAGTCGGAGAATAAAAACCGCGATTAAATAAACTGACATTAGAAGTCAACTCTACCATGAAAGCGATCTGTTGCCACATTTCTAAAGGAAGCGACCAAAATGTTTTTCCTCAAAATATGTCACAATGAACAAGAGCCACGCCATAATTGTTCTAGTCTTTCCAATCCCTGGTAATTATATTCCAGTAGCCTAAACGTACCAGTGCAATACAACGCGTATATACGGTAATGTCTATAAAATTAGCATTATGCGAACATCTGATTTTTACAATATGCGATATGTTTGCCTTTACTAGAACAGGCAAGCACATTACTCAAGGACATAAATAAACCAAACTTAGCAAGTGACACAAGATAGACCTCAGGAAAGAACACACTGGCAGTCAACTCACTGTTTCTCTAATGAAATCAATTGCGAAGAACAACATAAAAAACAAAAAGTCAATGGATATATACAGTATGAGTCCGAATATAATAAAAAAAACATGCGATGCTATTGCACCACTTGCGCCACCTGGATGTTCTAAACCAGAACTACTTTTTCATTCAAGTAATATTTCCACAACGTGGATCAACTATAAAGTATTTAAACAATGGTATTACCTTAAGGTGTCTCAATGCCTTGCATACCTGTACACATTTTAAGATCTATACAGAATATGTAACCTACCTGAAGACATGGAGCCGGTGGCATAACTGAGATGGGTAAACCTAGATCTTCGACTTCGCGCTTTTGCGTTTCCTTACTTATATACCCTAGCTTATTTAAATCCAGCAATTGTTTACCGCTAACCGAAATCTCTTCGCCGGATGGTTCGACATTCACTATGGTATAAAACAAACCTTTTATAAACAAATCTCCGGTTACTAATGGCACAACAGACAATATCAACTCGCGTGAGTTCGTACTTTCGAATGAAAGCGATTTAATCACGTTGGTTTTCAAATAGCTGCTGGCTACTGTGTGACTTGATTCGTTCGATAAAACGTTGCCGTTCGATGTTTTCAAGTTCCAATACAAGCACAAGTCAGTTAAGTGTAACGTTACGGAGAGTGGATTATATAACTTTAAAAACACTTGCACTGGTTCGTTTACTATCGCGATTATATTTGCGTTATTAATATTGTTTATCGAATAAAGAACTACGACCGGCCTAAAAATCATCGGTAACGATCCCTGCGCCTCTTGCACTAGCATTTCCTCTAATTTATTCCACTTCTGTACGGTTACACTATGGTTAGGTGTCTGCAATGATATATCAACCGCAGCAACCCGTGCTGGAATTGATAACGGAGGACTTGGTCCGACTAAAATTTTTGTAGACTCCGATTGCAAGATTGGGAGAACTAAGGTCACCTTATTATTTTCCGATTGACTCATTGCCAGCGACTGAAACAAAATTGTAGAATGTAAAACAGAGAGCTGTCATATTACCCTTTGACTGGAAAGGTACTCTTTCAAGAATAACAGTTGCTGCTCCTTTGACTGCTTGCTTTGGATCGTCATTAACATCGAAAATGAATGAGCTGCTTCGTCTAGCACATTTAATGCGCTCGACAATTTTCCGATAGTATAATGGACGTGGTCTTCCGCAAAGCTCCAGCTTTTATTTTCGTAAACCTGCAACGCCTGCTTATAGCATCGCAACGCGTGTTTCTTCTGCGACGCTTTGGAAAACCGATGGCCCGCCAACACCATGTGGAATGCGTATTTACGAACCATTTGCGGTCGCGTACAACTTAAAAAGTTATACGCGGCCTGTTCCAATAGCAGCGCCGAACGTAAATCCGACTCCTCGCTCGTCATACGGATTAGCTGATGAGCCGCTTCGCCGTGTAAGTTTTTACCTTTCAGGCATTCCGAACTTAGAAGAGTGGCGCGAGTCGCAAACTGGCCCATTCTACAATAATGGAGAACAAAAAGTTCAGTAGTTTCGGAGCTGGTCGCTTAGTCGTTTGGTTTTGAATTTGTATTGTAAATTTACATATATGCCGCTTCATAGCAAACGTGAACAAAATTAATGTCTGGGGATAACAACAAGAAACGTATTGGGGAAAGCAAGCGCGGTTGCCACGATCTCCTCGAACCTAAGAGTTGCGTTCCGTTCTGTTTAAATCCGAGCGCGTGACAAAAATGTAGGTTTACTATTCGTTTAAAAAGGTACGCTAATCGTTGCGTTCAGAAAATACGTCCCGTTTCAGAACTTCTAACGGGCGAGATTCAAATAGTGATAGAAGTGGGAGACCGAGATTTTTGGCGAGCTATCACGTACAAACACTGGTGTAAAAAAATTGATTACCGATCGACATTTTTTAGCTGCGTTGCGAAAAATATCCTCGCGTATGTTTGAAGATTTACGGTTGATAGAGGAACATTTCGAGTGAAAGAACCGCTTTTCAAATATAAACTCATAGCGTGGTCAAAGTACACATACAGGGTGTTTTTTTGGGAGCTTTAGTTAAACGTTTCTGGGAAAGTAAAATAGGTAGGTTTTTGAAAATTTGAACTTAGGAGTTACTCTGAAGGCCGAATCGATGTAAAATATTTTCAAAATGGCCGCACTTCCGGAAACACCGGAAGTAGATCGTAACTTCGTTATTTTAAATGGCAACCCCTATTTTTTATTGCATTTTTGGATTCTACGTGAAATTTCAATCCGTTTGATACCCATATGTCGATATCTGCTATTTATGGTTTTTAAGTTATTTTGACTTTAAGAAAAAAAAATGGCGGATGCAGACGGTACCTTGATAATTGATTACTTGAAAACGGTTGCAGTCATGGCAACCCATTTTTATCAGTGCATAGAGAATGAATAGGGCTTTCTTTTAGTGTACTTAAAAAAAAGTTAAGTTGCGTACAACCGCACCTATGGAGATCCAAATTTAAGAAACTTTAAAGTCTAAAAACTCAGTTTTTTTAAATGGAATGACCATGTTCTTACTATTGCATGAGATAGAAAATCGAAATTGGCATATTTTGATATTACATGTTCCTATAGCTATCTTTAACACTTTTCTCTATTTTCATTATTTAAACCGAGATTTAAAGTGAAAAAACAAATAACAAAATTTTCGACCAAAGTTCTTCCGGAAAATTGCTTACCTAAATTGGTAAAGATTTTCTCATATTAAGCACAATCCTTTTAACTAGATACCTAAATTTGAATTGGAATTTGATGTGGAAAGAAGTTAACTACACATCTGTTTCCATATTTCTAAAGGAAGCGGCATTTCCCAATGAGTGGAAAGATCAAATGTTACAAGAAGGAAATATTACTCGCACGGCAATTACTGTAAGTTATTTCAAATTTTTTGATTTGTATACAGTAGTGATCGGTTATTTCTAGGAAATAAAATATTATGATTGTTTGAAGTAATTTTGATATTCCTAAAGGAATCAACCCGTGACAATTATTTGCATGAAACAGATTTTGCATTTTTATTAACAAGAATCGAATCCAAACTAAGGATTTTGGTTATTATTTAATCTTTGTGACGCTTTAAAATCGCGAATAATACTAAAGTGAAAGTGAAAAATGGGCTATGAATAAAAAGAGGATTTAGTGTGTCGAAATTACTTACTTGCAAACGTTTAGGTATGTGACAATGCTTTCTTCCATATAATCCAATGTTTTCCTAGTCGACTCGTTCGCCATATACGCCGCTAAGCTGGCCATCTCTAAGGCGCCGGCGTAATAAAACCACGCCTGATCAGAATTAAAATCTCTTTTCGCCGTGTGGTACACTTGGAACGCCATGTTGTAGTGACCAAACATAAAGTAAAGATCTCCCAATTTGCGCATAATCAATTCTGGCGAGTCAGGAGCGTACCTTCAACGTATCCGTTAGAAACACAAAAAAAGCTTCGAGTTACCTATTTACATTTGTATACTCCCGTTAGTATTAGTAGCACCTTTATTGGGAGTGAACCATCTTTTAGTTGCACTAAACAACGACTTGCTGACACCTTTTTTGTTCAGAACACTGTCCGTCAAAAACTGTATCTGTCTTTCGGTGTCAGGTAAGAGTGCGCGCGTACAAAACTCGTGGATGAACAACTTTATTTGCTCAACATCCTCCGTTGTCAAACACATACCATGTGTTCTATAAGAAGGTACGATAGGAGCTCTCTCAAGCGATTCGCTCTACAAACAAACCTTTGAAATGAATTACGTCGTTAACGGAAACTTACCAAATTTTGACATTCAGTATCCGGACTCAGTGGGTGGTAAGGCAAGGTACTACTACCGCAAGAGGTACCGAAACCATTTTCCGAAAAAGCTAACTGTGTTCTAGAACCATAAGGTGAGTTTTCGCCGCTTGATTGAACGCTATCAACCTCAAAAGTACTTGAAACGTACTGACTCCAAGGATCGGGCAATTGTTCGTTAGTATGTTCGGGCGGTCTCGAATTCATTCGTAGTAAAAAGCAATTGCTAAGCCCGTAGGATACTTTCAATGCTTCTAAAGTTTGAGTCGCTCTAAAAATATATATTATCACATCACTGCCGATTTGTTCACTTAAGTACAATTCAGAAATTAAAAAAAAGATTTGCTAACAATGCAATTCCAAGATGGCGCCACATATACTGTCTTTCCACCTAAAGCTCATTAGCACTGTTACCTAACATATACGGTGAGTGACGTCACAAAAGCGGCGAGTAAAGTGCGGCCGTCGATGCGGTAGAAAATAAACGTAAAGTCTGAAAGTGAAGTGTCACTGTATGCTCATGGGATAAAACATTGCAGAATTATTCCCACCGTACTGGTTCTCTCCTTCAATTAGTGTGTTAACTTCCAGAGCGGCACCGTTTTTTGTGATGTCACCCACCGTACCTTGACGGACGCTAAAACACGGTATCGCTTTTGAGGAAACCCTAGCTTTATTTAATGAGCATTCAGAAGTACCGTATGTCCTATTTCAAAATGTTTGGACCACCGTTTCTAAAATTTGACCCAATGTTGGTATTTTTAAATGCAACATCATGTATATATTAACGTTAATTTTTTGCATTCTTTTTCCCGGTTACATTGATGTATTGTAACGGAGCACCTATTTTCTGCTAGAAGTTAGAACCATACCATACACTTGTCAGCCGACCAGCTCTGCTGAGCACCCTGTATTTACATTAGGCCTCCGAAAATAGTTATTTCTGTTTGAAAGTTGGAAGTATAGGGTAGAAATTAGTGGGTTAATTTCTAGAGCCGCCCGTTACGAAGAATAAAAAACCGTATTTCATTTGCCGTTGACAACGGGGATATTTAAATTGCTTTTACAGCCGCCGAAACCTCTCTTGACGGGAAGAAGAGAGAGAATCAATCTTGTTAAGTTTTAGGTCCATGAATTACCCATTAATCGATATTAGTTTTCTAATGGCAGGTTTACGCCGATATCACCCTGCTGATTGATCACAACATTCCAATTAACAATAAATAGGTGTTACCGATTTTAGACATTTCAATCCAGCCAATGAAGTAAGTGTAAATAACAGTAGCTAATTAAAGCTGTTATCGAAAGCAGTCGGGTGAGGTGTCTTTGGATGTGCTCTAATTTTTCCAGGTGTTTGTAAGTGGTTCCCAATTTTTATGATGACCAGAAGCTTAGAAATAAAATAAAGAACTTTTAATTGTCGCCGCAAGGATACACCGTCGAGCAGGTAAAGCTGACGGTAGAAACGTGTCATTTAAGAAATTTGAAAAATGATATAATCTAAGACAGTAGAACCTCGATTATCCGGGCATCGGATTATCCGTGCCGCGATTTCCCTGCATTGAACTTATATTTTTGAGCTTTACATTTTAAATTTACGCACCATATGTCAGATAACTAACACTGATCAAAGTTTTTCACATAAACCAAAGTGACTGACAGTTTCAAAAGCATGACTATCTAAAAATATGCGCTATTTTGGCAAAGTTAATTTATCAGTGTCAACATTTTAGTTGGGTTTTAGTTTTTTAGTACACACAAATCTCAGAAACGGTGACCCAAACATTTTTTTTACTACGCCACTGGATTCTACGTAAAAATATCTAAAATAGACAGTTTTTACTATTTTCTATCTTACATGGGTAGTAAGATATGATAACATCTATGCCTTGGCGGAAACAACTTTGAATTTTTGGTGTACACCTCTCTGAATTAATTTAAATTAACGTGAATTAATTTGAATTAGCGTGCATTAATTAGAATTAACGAGAATTAATGTGGAATTGATTAGTATGAATTAGTTTGAATTAACGTGAAATAATTTGAATTCACGTGAATTAATTTGAATCAACGTGAATTATTCTGAAGTGACGTGAATTAATTTCAATTTCTTTCCATTTATCACTTCCAACTAACACTAACTTTTGTAATTATGAGCCGATTTTGACCAAACTTAATGGGTTGATGTGACTCATAAATATCTCAGTCGTTTGTGAATTTACACCATTTTAAAACAAAATGGCGGCCACCTTTATGTGTTAAAAGGCTGTAACTTTTCCTAATTTTAACCAATTATGACTAAACGATATAGCGTTAGGATAGTTAAGGATGCGCGGGAGTCTTGGAGTTCCAGAAATCCGAGACATGCGCACAGAGTGCTATTGAATGACAGCATCGATACCTTGGAAGATGCGTACAAAGTTAGGTTAGGTTAGGAAGGAATGCGTAAAGGCGGTTACCGAAATGGAGGAGGCTTTAGTGTGTAGGGCGGTTAAAGAAATCTACCTACACCTGATCGGTCGAGCCGAATGGGAGTTTGACACTATTAGAACCCATTTCAACATTTTTTGGCATGATTACGTCCATAAGAATTGGCGGATCCACTAGAAATTTGGCAGCTATCATTATCACAACCGTAGTTCCAATTAAATGAGTTGCAGAAACAGCATCCGATTAAGCCGCAGTGCGCTAGCACCACTTGACCTCTATTTTTATCGGTACGCGTCAACTCGCCACTGGACCACTCGCCACCGACTGACTCGCCAACGGGACAACTCGCCACTGCGACAACTCGCCAATGCGACAACTCGCCAACGGACGACTCGCCACTGCGACAACTCGCCAACGAAATATTTTTCCCTGTTTAATGTGTCGTTCAAATAACGATGTGATTGTCAAATTTTCTATTCAAATAATAATTTGCAGAAGATGTCGTTATATCAAAATGCAGTAATAGAAACAGGTATAGGCGGTTGGGTCTTCATTCAAATATTGACTACAATTTTTCGATTAACTTTTTTTACAAAATTAGGGAAATTGACTATTGCATTTGTGGGATGCATTTGTATGACACGTTAAACAGGGAAAAATATTTCGTTGGCGAGTTGTCGCGTTGGCTAGTCGGTCGGTGGCGAGTGGTCCGGTGGCGAGTCGCCCTTGGCGAGTTGACCGTGTCCCTATTTTTATTCAGGTCAGTGGCTGGCACCCAGATCAAGCTTACACTATTAGTCTCACCTGATCCACCTAGAATCGCCTGAATTCAAGCGTCGTAGCCGATCGGAACCTGTCGGATGGCTCTCACTGCACGTGTATACAGTGCGTAAATGTTAACTCTGATCATGCAAATCTCCTGCATGTAAAACTCATATGTTCAACTCTAAAATATACATGATCGATGATCCACTAGAAATTTGGCAGCTATCATTATCACAACCGTAGTTCCAATTAAATAAGTTGCAGTAAACAGCATCTGATTAAGTCGTGAGTGGTCTCAAAAGAAGCGCTCTTAATTAACTGTAATTTTAAGACCAATTACAGATTTTTATGTTTATCGCAGGTCGCAGAATGAATTCCTTAAGTATTAATTTTTGGATGTAAACAATGAAAAACACTGTGTCGGCTGGAAAAACCGTCGATCTCTCCATGAAGGGACCGAAATTTTATAAACGGTAAAGCCGTTGTTTAGTGGGGATCTTTTTGCCTTTGGTCATTGAATAAGTAATTATAGGAAGAAGCATTATCCTGTAATAAAAATTGGTGGAACAATATGGGTACCGTCCTGGAATACTAATTACTTATTCCATGGTACTGTTTAATATTGTAACATATTTCTTTGTTATTAAAATAATTTAAAACAGTGAATATATGTAAACAATCAAAAAAGTACACATACACCACAAGAATATTTACGTAAAAATCATTACAATCAAGTAGACAGGTAAGTTGCCTGGGTTTATTGGATCATTAAGTCGGTATACATTTGTAAATTAAGGGTTATTAGGTATAGTCGTGATTGAAAATTGTTTATTTACTGTTAAGTCTTGTTACAAGCTTCATCAGAACTTCCTCTTATTGACGTGTGCAAAAATGGTATTTACTAAGTGCTGTAGGCCATGGGGCCAGAAAGTTACAGCCCAACGATCAGATCAGAAAATAATTGCATCTGAAACCGTCAACTCAATCAACTGTAGCAATATTAAGTTATGAATGTGCCCCATTCGAAGTCAAAACAATATTACCTTTCTTAAATTCGCATTTGCTACAAAATGGTTATCTACAGTAGTGTTCTTTAGTGTTAAAACAATCTTTTTCATATAGATAATGGCCCGTATGAATAAAAGTAAGCAAATGCTTATACTTGAAAAATTCAAAGTAAATACTCGTAAGTGCTCCTTCGCACTGGGCAACTTAGCAGCGCTTCTAAGCAGAAGGGCAGACACAGTGCAGCGCTGCTAAATCATGCTAAACAGACCAGTATGAAGGGACAGTTTCGAGTATTTACTTTGAATTTTGCAAGTATAAGCATTTGCTTACTTTTATTCATACGGGCCATTAATGCGGCGATTATCCGATTAATGTGATAAAGTTGGGGTGCATTTCCGTTTAAACCTTAGGGGAAGGGAAACTAGAATCGAGAACCGAGAAGACATTGAATAAACGCCGCCCGTACCAAATACGCAGCAAATTGGCAACAAGGCTGACCTGTCTGCATTATTGATAGCTTAGAGAAGGAAAGAGCATAGTCTAATATTGAAAGCACTATACTTGAAAAGCAAGAAATGCGAATTTTTGTATTAACGGTATGCAACCAATATTACAGTAATGCTCAAAAACCCATCCGCGTTTTGCTTCTTCCTACAATTATTTATTCAATACTTTCGTGTTGTAAATTTTTCACTGTACTCGCGTACCGTTTAAATTTTAAAGGTTATCACGGGGGGAGGGGGCTACTTGCTTTGCTTGTCCCGCTTTTGATTTGCTGTAACTACCCTTAATTACCTATGCTTTGTTGCTTGTGTTCTGAATACAAAAATTTCTGTTTTGGTGAACAAGACCGCACGCCTTGGTGGCGCTCGAGTTCACCCGTGCGATACTATGTTCGACTGTATTAATGCAAATTGCGCCATAATATTCTGGAACTTTCAAGGTCAGAAGATCAGGTGTCCGCCGCCGTCGCAAAAATAATGATTCCAGATAAACATTAGGAAAGCACAAACTCTGTAAAGTAGACGGTGCGCGTATACGCGTGGTAGTAGTGCTTTCTGCCACAGGGCCGCGCTGCGACATTTAATTTATACAGCATATTCAACACTATCTATTGAGAATTGAGCTTCGAGTGCTTGCGCTTCCGTCATCTTAATATAATAAATAAAACCATTAAAAAAACAAAGTGGGCCTAGGACTATAAAATTTTGCAAGTCGATTCAGTTTTTCATTCTGAACAACTTTTCACGGGTATGCAAAAAACGTTTTTTGAAAATTTCAAAGGCCCCATTGATTTTTCGAAATTAAAATTATGCCACTAAGCAGGGCTGAACCCCAGAAGTTCAAAATTCAATTTTACAATCAGGAGACACACTGTATATTCCTAAAACTCTTTGATACAACTTATTCACTGTACCAGTTGCAAAATATCAAGTGCTATAAGTGTACAGAATTGCAATCTCATATAGGATGATATACCATTTAATGTTTAATGGGGTGGTTTCCCCCTTGGTGATCGGTTGTAATTCAAAATTGGAGATGGAGATGACAGGCTGTTATCTTTAGATTGGGTGTCCAAGAAACGGTTTTGGATAATCTCTGTAATAGTAAAACATATGACCCATTGAAGTTTGTTCCGTGTACTGTACATTATACAAATAACACTTTGTGAACGTCACTTCCACATAATAATTCCCATTTTGCATTTGGTTCTGAGCACTTTTACCTTTGTGAGTCGATGATTTTATACACCCTGTACACTTCTTAAAAATAATCGAACAATACTTACTTATCGCTATCACCAGTCGTATTATCGTGTACAATAAGATAATACCGCAGTACATTGGAATGAAACCATTTCGGTAGTTTGTTAGGAATGATGTTTTGAATTTGACTAAGAGTCTGATTGTGCCTCGTCATGGTGTCAACAGGATTAACTTCGTTCGAGGCGGCGACTAATATGCACGCTAGGAAGTGTTTGGTGAACTCATGGTCAGATGGGAACTGCACTTGCAAGAAGGTATCGCGCCAAGATTCGAACCATGAAGTCGAAGTAGGCACGTCTAAATTATATTTCCCTATTTGGTATTTTTGTGTCCTCGGCTCCACGGACTGGCTAACGCAGGCATTCAGGAACTTTCTCGCTAGCGTCGGCTGAGGTGGTCTAAAGTTCACGTCTAACAATGATATTTTTAAGTTATGAATTGTCAATACTCCTCCATTTGTGTCTTGTAGATAAACTAAAATTGAAGCTGAAAGTCGGCTATGTTAAGTAGAACATCCGTACCATCCGAATTAAGCTTGCAGAAAGGTTGCACCAGTTCTGTAAACGATAGGTTGTTCTTCTGACATATGCTATCCACTGCGGGGCTGCACAAAACGGCAATTTGTGGAGTGAATGTGTTCTTAATAAAATCTTGAGATGACAACTTTGAGTGGGACATTGTACGATTCGTGCACGGACTAGTACTACACAACTTTATCTTAATCTGCTATTTAAATCTGCCCATGTTTACGATTAAGTTTCAATCACTTTAAAGTGTTTGGAGATCTTCCCTGAAAACATTGAGGTTACCTCAATTAGATGCAAAATTATTTCTAGGACATACCTAAGTGTTAACTTTATTAAAATCTTGATCTGATACTAATGTAATTAAAGCTTTCCTTTCAATTAAATGTAAATTTACAAATTATGATTATGTTTCTTGAAAATTTTGAGTTATTGTGTAAACATCGTTGCCAAATTATGTTGTCTTGATGACACTTGTCAGTTGTCATACCAAGCGTAGCAGAGGCGTAGCACACTGGGGGACAGGCCCTACTAGTCCAGTTAAATATTCGCCCCTTAAAATTTGAGCATTTGATATTACTTTTCCCCATATTTCGACCCCGCTGAGCCCGAAAATGCCTGTTGCCAAAGCGAAATTACAACCGGAAATGATAAATTGAGGATGGCGGCCAATTTCGAGTTTTCTTCGAATTGAACGCTGTAGTGAGTCTCAGTGACGAAGACACTCTACCAGTATGACTAAATATACGTTTTCAGGCATGCTAAATCAAAAAATACAAATAAAAAAATTATGGAGATCGTGTATTTCCCAAGATGGCGGCTAAGATGTCGACCAAAAATAGTTTTAAATGCGCTTTTCACTTAACTAGTGTGACATGTCTATAAAATACATATTTATGATTTTTAGCATAAGGAATAGAAAATAACTTTTGGGCTAAACTTTATTGCTAAATTAGGTGAAAAAAACTTTTCACATCGAATTTAAGCAGATAATTTTACATGGATTACACAACTTTATCCATAGCACATTTTCCTTTCTACAACTGGAGCAAATGACAAATTCCGGGCAGGTCATAGCGATGAGGTGCTCTCGAGATAAGTGAGGTTTCTGCTTTGGCAAATAAGGAACATAAGAGATAACTCATGAAATCACTTGGGTATTTGAAGAGAAGAGTGTATTTTTAGATTTTCTAATGTTTTAAAACTTAGACATATTCGACACATTTCCATGTCACTGGGGACCATAATAATGCCCAATTTAAAAAACGCCAAACTGGCCACCGCTTTAAATATCTCACTTCCGGTTGAGATTTCACTTTGGCAACGTGCATTTTCGATTTCTTGCAATACCAGGGACTGCACTGGTCGGAAGAAAAATGTGCCATGCAGAAAGTGTAAAACAATCTGCTTAAATTCGGTGTCAACGGTTTTTTAAATTGTATAACTCAATTTACTGCAATAAAGTTTAGCCCAAAACAAAAGTGATTTTTAAACGTATTCCTTATTTAAAAAACATATATCTAGACATGTCACACGAGTTTTTAAATGAAAAAAGCAATTAAATCTATTTTTGCCCACCATCTTAGCCGCCATCTTGGAAATCACGATCTACGTAATTTTAAAGTGTATTTTTAAATCTTCATGCCTGAAAACATCTGTAGTGATAGTGGTAGTGTTTCTATTCCACTGCATGCAAACCACTGTATCGTTTAATTCGGAAAGAAACGCCAACCTGGCCGCCATCTTCAATATGTCACTTTCAGTTGAGATTTCACATTGGCAACACGCCTTTTTTTTCTATCTCAGCGAGGTCGAAATAGGGGGAAAGACTGGTTTCCAAAAAATGTAATGCTCCTCAAATTTCGATTTTTCGAAACATTAACTAGACTATACCACTCCCCCCTTTATCTTGGATTGGAACCCATATGAAATATACTCAGGTAGAATTCTTTAATAGTTCCGGTTCTGTGGTGTAAGTTTTCATTTCGTATTTGGCGATATCCTTATGTAGAGATATCGCAATCGCTCCATCTCGTCTATAGAGACAGTACACGAGAATTTATGTATGTACGTACACATATTGCACCCTTTTCTAAATTTGAATAATCCGCCACTGGTTGCATAAGTTACTGACGACTTACCTCGTTGGTGTAAACCCTTCTTAATATGATAATATTCATATTCGATATGGCACAAAGTTTATGTGGTTGTCATTTGTTGTAAGTTTTTTTCTTTGTTTCGTTATTTTTTATAGTTTATCTCTTGTTATATAGTCAGATGTTTTAAGTGCATGTTACCACTAAATTAATACTCCTGCAAAAATTTCTCTTAATTAGTCAACTTGAAAAATAAAGCCAGTTATAAGGTTGCCCTTATCAAAAAAAAACTGTGATGGACATGATAGAAACAGATGCAACTCCAAGTGCACCAGGAAGTAACGAAAAAGTTACACATGATGACCCTAATAATGAGGAGCAAACGACATACAGAAATACATCTGGCAAAAAGAAATCCAAAGGGAAACCAACTAACTGTAAGAATTTTCTGTATTACCAATTTTGTGCTCACCTTTGCATTTATATAGTGACCAAAAATGTTTTCTATGTAAACAATTGTAATGGTGTTCATTTTGGTGAAAAAAGAACAGTCATTATCGAAACAAAAGGGGATAGAAAAACGAGAAAGAAACCTGTAGGAATGCCGGAATCTGTTTTAAAATTAACACAAAATGAAGAAGAATTACAAACAGAAACTATAAATTTAATAAAGTCACACGTTGGTGAAAATTGGAGAGACGTCTTTCGTGCACTAAATTATTCTGATCAGGAAATAGATCAACAGGAATACTTACATCACCTGAGTGGAATTGCAGAGGTCGTATTAGTTTGAATTTGTTATAATGTTAACATTTACATTGTACAGATAGTCTACCAACTGTTGCTCGATTGGAAGCGGAATAAACCTGATGAGGCCACCTTGGGCAAGTTGGTATCTGCTTTATGGAATTCGGGAGAAGAAGATGCAGTTCAACAAATCTTGTCTTCCAAATGAACATCTTTCTAATTATCATTTGGTTTTATTTTCATGTTTTGTATGTACCTACCATTTTTAATATTATACTTCCATGATTTTTAATGTAAATACAATTAAATTTTTTATAGCTGCTTTGGTCTATGTTTCACTAACAATCACCATAGTCTTGCACTCCGATTGCGCAACTGTGGGTTTGTTTCAAACTTCCGAAGAAGTACAATATTAGTAGCTTTAGGTAGTGGAGGGAGATTCGACTTCAAAGAATAGACAAGTAAATTCATACACCCTGGCATATTGCCCCCCTTCCAATTTGTACATGAAAGAATCTCCCTTGAAAAGTTTGCCCATTGAGGTTTCTTCATCAGTCCCCAACAGGAACTTACTTGATCGGCTTAATTTCCCCTAGAAGAACTTGCCGTTGGAATAACTTATGTTCTGTGAGAATACATATTCGCCCATGGAGTTTTCACCCAAAACAAAAATCCTCCCACACTGAAATGCTCGCCCACAAGGAACATTCATGTTCAAGCAAGCTCAATTGCAGGGGGTTGCCTCCCCACCGTAGAAAACATGTTCCCTCAAAATTCGCTCCCAGAATATGGAATTTTATTCCCCAAGGAAAATTCTCCCCCGGACGGGAATACTCTGTCACCAACGAAAATTCGCATTCAGGAAAGCTCTACCGACCCAAGGCAAAATTTGGCTCCTCAAGGGAAGTTCGATCCCGAAGGACACCCCGAAAATTCATGATCAAGAATTTTCGCCCACAGGCAATTTTCCACCGAAAAATTCGTTCGTAAAATATTTTTCGCCTGGAATTTTAGCTCCCATCTCGGCAGAATATACCTACTAAATTCTTTGTGTATCCCTTCTCCAAAATACCATCATACAGGACCCTGAAGGATTTGAATATGTTTGGGGAAAATGTATAGCACTGGCAGGGGGTCTGGGCGGTATGGGAGAATAACTGCCAGGAAAGAGAGATTCGGTAGCACTTCTCCAAAGAACCATTATAAGTGTTCTCAGAACATTTTTTAGGGGAAAATATGGAGCACTGGGGTGACCTAGGGGGTGGCTGTGAGGTATGGAATACTCCAAGAATGGAACACTTAGATTTTGTAGCCCTTATTTGAACATGCGGGGGGGAAAATTTAGGATCGGCGCAGGTATGGAATAGGAAAAAAATACGGTTGCCCTTTCCGAAAAAAGCGCCATGAGGGCCGATCATGGGAACTTTGAGCAATTAGATCTCACACAAGTTAGGATGCTGGCTGCATCAGGTACCGCTCTCGCGGGATTCATGTCCATTCACCGCCTGCTACCATTTCAGGTTAATGCCATTCGCCCTCAAGAAGGCTCCATCAACATTCCAAAAACTAATTACCCAAGGGGGTACGATGGTATACCGGGACGCACCCACCACAACATTATCTACTCCGAGACCTGGGAAGCATATGTACCACCTACACCTTACCCTCTCCAACAAGACAACACTGACAGTCATATGAGGACAGTTGTAAACTGCGTACCTTTCGAGGAACTCAGTCCTTGAAAGGGTTCGTAAGATTTTTAATAGGGCCATGCGGACTGGGAAGATCTTACGATCTTTCAGCGCAGGACCATATTAGAATGTCTAAACGAGGATCATGTATAATCTTTTGTGGTAACATGGAGGGTCTTCCTGAAATTCAAAAATTTCGTAAGAACCTTTTAAAAGACCCGGGACAAAAAGTGGGGACACTGAGGTTTCCATGCGGCAAATATAAGTCTACCATCGGGTGAACCTCTCGCATATGCCTCCTGCAAACACACTTTCCGCAAGGACTACGCATAACTTCGGACCCGCCAAAAGGGGCTCCTGTAGCCCTGGGAGCGCGTTTCAAGATACCGAGAGTTAATAACACTATCGTTCGATTCAATTAGAGAGGGCGCTGAAGGCTAGAGGGTGTCCGCAGAATGGAGTGTCAGTGTTGTCTCCACTGCTGTGTTGCCTGGTATACTAGAAGGACTCCTCGCCGCACTGTGAATGAGGACCGAGCACACTAATATGGACAAAATCTCTAAGTGATGGTGAACTACTACACAGAACTGGCTGAGGTCGATGTGGACGAGCAGACAAAAAAATCTCTTCCCCTACTGTCATTAATCTCTTTAAAAAATGCCCAACAATTACCCGACACGATCTACAGGTTTGAAAATGTTTGGGTATCATCTTAGTGTAAAGAATAAGTATCATCTAGAAAGCGCAAGTAAAGCAACAGCTTCTTTTATCCCCATTAAACTTGAATTTGATCGTTTTTCCCGAAAAATAACGCAAAAAAGATACTATCTTAAGTGAAAATAATTATGCCACTCTGCTTGTGCCGCGTACTAGTCGTTACACCTATTCCCAAATCTCCTTTGGAAAAGCAATTTAAAAAATTGAAAAGAATTATAATGGTGGTGTCATCCCACCGAAAGCTATAAAATTATTTCAATTACCTAAGTAGGCCATACATTATTCTAACTATAATTTCTAAAAGTTCAAGCATTTCATGAGAGAGGGAGGAAAAGTTGTATAGAGTAAAACAGGAAAATAAAGACTATTATCATTGAATAATATTCAGATTTATTATTCAATGATATAACGGAATATGAGAAAAAAACGCAGGTCGATTTATATTTTACTATTCTAAATTGAAGTCGATGCATTTACTGGTGTTAGGTATATTGACTCCTATCATAAACCTAATTAATTTATGCAACCCCTTTTGCAACTCGTTGTTGTAGCGTCAAACAGGGTTGATAATTAGGGACATGATCAATGATCTTTTCTTAAATTATGCGCAGAGCAGAGTCGATTAATATAAAATCACCTTCTGATTCATTGTAAATATATGTATATGAAAGGATAGTATATTAGTAATAGGACCATTAATAGAATAATGAATTTTATTCAGTAAGATTCTTTTAAACTAAATTTGAAGAGATTAAAGCCAGGGAAGCCTGTAAATAAACGAAACGAAGTAATCTCTTGAATGTAAGACCACCTTTAAATAGGGACGGCATAATTAGAGTTGGAGGTATGGTGACATTATCAAGTTTCAATTATGGTAAGACGCATCCAGTTTCTGAAAAGGAAATCACCTTACTAAACTCTTATTCGAGCAGTATTATCAAATTTTGTTTCGTGATGGCTCAATTCATTATTATGTGCTATAAGAAAAAGACGCTCGTATTTCTTTATTCATTTACTCTTTACTAACTCTGAATATAAAATAATATTGAAAAGTACGGTGTTATCCCAAATAGAATCTGTACTAAGCTTATGCCTTCTAGTTATTTGAAATTCTAATAAGATGTGCTACGTAAGCACGTTTCCTGTCTGGAAGATCTTTTCTTACCGTTCGTTCAACGTGGTATCAAGTGCTACAAAAATAGCGCATCCATTTTCAATTATATGTTTATTGATTAAAAGTTGTAGCCATGGCTTGTTAAAAGAACACCTTCCTCTTGCCCCCGTTAGACCAGTTCCTGTTGATATTAACCCAATTAATATGGTGTTTCTTCTGCACCCCTTTTGGCCATTAGAACTTTCTTAGAACATGGTTGTAACCTCGGTAGTAACATCCAAACCATCCATCTTATCAGCCTGGAAAATTACTAGAAAATTTTCGCGAACATGCATTTCTACAAAAATATAAAAAAAATGTGCTATTGTGGCCACTTTGTCCGTCCGTCCGTCCGTCCGTTCGTCCGCTCGTTTTGAGACGCTACTAGTTTTTTTATCTTAAGAGCTATTGTTCTACTTTTTTTCTCTATTTGGTTCGTTATGGTGTCGAGTCTTGCACCAAGGAAGGAATTTTTTCTGTACCGCTTACAAAAAAGTTAATGTAAAAAAAACAAAACACCGTTTTTTACATGTTTCATAATTTGACACTTTTGCCGTTTATTAACGATCCTAGAGATCGTTTATAATTTTGCATTGCTGTATGTCGTCTGCCTGTTGGTCTGTCCGTCTGTTCCTTTGTCTGTCTGTCCCTCTATCTGTCCGTGTGAACGATAACTTTGTTGAGAAATGTCCGATCGCTTTTACATCTCCGTTAGTTATGAACTGAATTGCATGAAATTCAATATGGGCATAGCCTTAGCCATATAATACGCAATGCCAAAAGTTGAGTCGAATCGATTCAAAATTCACAGTGCCCTTTTCGCATCTCGACCATTTATAAACCGAATTGCAATTTCAAAATTTGGTTTGGCGCATGCGCAGTCCCAACTTTCTTATTTATGGAGGAATTTAAATGAAATTTGATACATAGCCACTTGGAATAAAAGCAAATTTAACGCCAGTTTCAAAATTTGGTTTTGCGCATGCGCAGTGCCAACTTTCTTATTTATGGAGGGATTTAAATGAAATTGGATACATAGCCACTTGGAACAAAGGAAAATCTAACGTTAGCTTCAAAATTTAGGTTTGCGCATGCGCAGTTCCAATTTTCTTATTTAGAAAAGCATCTTACAAATAGGAAATGAATGCAAGTGGAAATGCGCTTTATGTAAATCGTTTACGATTACTTTTTAACTTGTTTTTATTTGGGAGTGGTACAAATAGGTTCAAATGAGCTTGTCTACCCATCATTGTTAATAATAACAATTTGCAAAAAAAATGGTTCCCAAAATACCGGTATTTTTATGACTTTTAATGATATTTTAATAGCATTTATCGAAATTTGTTTGAGTTCGTTAGAGAAGTATTGATAATTATATTTTAAAATCCTTATAAATTACAATTCTTTTGCTCACTGGTAAAATAAGTCGAAAATACTACAAAAGGCGGTCCCATCTTAAATTTTTTTGGCTTCAAAATTTGTCATAAAATAGTAATAAGTAAGTGGAAAAACGTATGTGCTACATAAAATTCATGATAAACAATATTTTTGTTTTCAACAAGTAAAAAATGTTAAACTGAGTTGTAGTCGCCATTTTGGCCGCCATCTTGATTTGAGGCCTTAGCAGCCGGAATTCCAGATGACATGCAAAATCGGATTCAGTCCTAAAAACACATTAAAATGCTTTGTCTCAAGATTTGCCGTTAGGACGCTTTACTGAATTTCTCGCCTAGACTAATGTAGTAGAAGAAGGTAC